CACTTAACACCGGATAAAAGAGCTGAGATCTGCAGCTTTGTTGTGAATGTGAGGAAGAAGATAATCCAGCTGTGATCCCTGATAATGCTGAGTAATTACAGAGTGAGAAGAGAGCCCGTTTCACACCATGACACGGTTGGAAATGTGTATTTGGTGAAGTCTAACTGTTAGAGACTTTTATTGATCTGTCGGATGAACAAATCTGCAGTGATGCAGCAGTAACTGAGCCTGTGGGCGTTTATCCATACACGCCATCATGTGTCCAACCAGAGGCTGCTTTACTCTGACGTGATGCTTACAAAATAAGTGATGACATTTCTTTGACAGACGCGATGATGAGAGGTCATTAATGGTAATGGAGCGACACTTTTATGTTTCTTGTGTCATAACTTAAAAGTTATTACATGCACAGCGTCACGTTTTTGTCAAACATCAGATGCGCCCTGCATGTTGATTTGTTTACAAAAGCAGAGCCTTTTTGAGGGGAAATATCTCTGCAACCGTTCAGCTCTCAGTGGAGTCCTCCGGGAAAAACATTTCAACTCACTGACAGGAAGTAAACAAGATGAAGAGGGATGTGTGCGACCTTCAGTCCCCACAGCCTCAAACCGTCAGCGCGGACCGCAGAACGTAACGAGGGCCGAGCCTGCGGGGAGCCAAGTATGCAAATGAGGCGATTCTTGGCGGCGCTCCGTCCTCTCTCGAACACCCGGAGCTGACAATGGCTGTTACATAAGATCCATCAGAGTAATCTGGATTTCACCAGCTGAGATTTGGAGGTCAGGCAAACACGAGCCAGCTGCTGCTGATCACACAGAAGAATCACATCTGTGTGATTTTACTGTTGGCCCATCATTTGTTTATTTCCCTCTGCAGGTTTCACAAAAATACACTGAATTTGTGGAAAACTGTGTTTATTTTTATTTTAACTTATTTAACTTATTATTTAAGACATGCTTTTATTTTATTGATTTATTTATTTTCTCCCCCTTTTAATCTGCAGTGGTTCAGTCCAGAATCTATTTGGGCTGTGGCTCAACCAATTAACCGTCACCACCTCAACTGGTTAGCTGGTTTATTTGTGAAGGTGTGATTGGTCCATGTGGATTTTTTTTCTGTTTCCTGTTTTTTATTTAAAGATTATTTAAAGTCACTTAATAAATCTGTTCCCGGTTACTTTAAGCATCGGTGGAGTGTTCATGTCATCAAACGATGTTTACATACAAGTTTTTTTTAAGAAAGACCCAAAAACAGGAAACATTAGCCAACAACATAAATGATGTTTAAACCCAAACAAACAGGTCATAAACCTGCAGGAGTGGACACGTTAGCTCAGCTGATCTGAAAAACAGAAATGTATTATTATCTAAAATAATATTATTGCAAAGCTGCTCCGTTCTTCAGCATGGAAACCAACACGTGTTAATGTTAGCATCATCATACTGGAGCCTTTTATGGTCATATGGCAGGAAAACTACAATAC